GGGGAAACGGAGGTGTGAGCACATGGCGGGCCCCAAAGCCCACATTGTTTCGGCGTTTCCAGCGGACCAGCCAGCCGATGCTGGGCACGAAATCCTGGCCCATGATGTCGGCCAGCTCCTTGGCTTTGTGGAGCAGCATGGGCCCCGTCACGTCCCAGGCCTTGGCCCGGGCAATGTGGTACCAGCAGAGCAGAGCCTCGTCGATGCTGCTGTACTTGGACTCCCGCTTGCGCTTGCGCTCCCTGTTGGCGGTGCCGCTGCACCAGTCTGCCAGCAGCTTCTCCTTATTCTTGCAGATGCGTGAGATCTGCGGCTGGGAGACCTGGAAGCGCCGGGCCACCTCCGACTGGGACATCTTGGACTCATCCAGGAGTTCCAGCACCTGGATCTTCTCAGCCAGCGATAGGGCATGTAGCTTCTTCTTGCTGCTCAACTCCATGGCTGCTCCAGGGCACCTGTGGGGGAGAAAGTTGGGCCATCTGGGAAAGGGTGAGAGGATGTGAGGGCTGGGCTGAAGGAGGAAGGGACATGGCTAGGCTGAGCGAGCAGTGGGCTGGGCACTGACCCCGAGGAATGCCAGAGCACAGCTGGCGAGGGGGTGGCTCACTGGTCAGGGGAGGGGCGTCTGGGCTGGGGTTTGGTATAATTGGGGGACGAAGATGAGTAGGGCCAAGGGGACAGCTGCAGAGCCAACAAAGGAGTTTGGTGGGGGAACAGGGGGCTAGGGCTGAGTGGGGCAGTTGTAGGTCAGACAGTCAGGGCTCGGGGAGGAAAAGGCGGGTGACGGCCTGGGCTGGCTCTAGATAAGATCTTGGAAGACGGGGTGGTGGAGTGGAGGAACAGCGTTGAGGTGACAGGTGTACAGATGACAAAGAGAGAGAGGGATGGGGCCGGGTCCCGAGGAGCTCAGCGGGGCGGGGGTCCGGTCTGGGGAGTAAATGGGAGCACAAGGCCGAGAGGGCAGGTGCACAGACGACAAAGAGCAAGAGGGGTGATGAGGCCACGGCAGCTGGAGGGCGGGTGACACTAATGGGGGGGCGGGGCTGGGGAGGGTATCTGGGCGCGGGCTCCAGTGCCCGAGACCTAGGCCGGCCGGGAGCAGGCTCCGCAACAAGTTTATGCTGACTCATAGCAATAACTACTAACGCCGTGTTTCAGTGTGCCAGGCACTCATTTAATTTTCACAACAACCCTATAATGCTTTAGTGCTGTCAGTTTTGGCATGCTAAAATTTAAAACTCATGGAGGGATTCTAAATGACCCCAAATTAAGTATAATCTTTTGCTCATATTTTTGTGCCTAAACTGTATATCCTGACTTACAGGATCATCGCTAAAAAAATAAAATAAAATACACTAGAATTACTTTTACCAATTTAGCTTCTAAAGTTGGTTCTTA